TAATATCCCAGCATATGGGGGCTTATCAATATCATTATCATTATTATTATTATCAATATAATTTATAGAGTCTGTACTGCTTAGACTACTTTGGACACCTGGAGTGTTTGTTAGAAATGTGGTTTTCTGGGTTCTGTCTAGGCTTGTTATCTCCAGGGGCTTGGGGGCTGGAAATTTACATTTTAAACAAGCGCCCAGATGATTCTTACATATAATGATGTTTAAACTGGCAAATCTCAGAGTAATGGAAGAATATCAGTTTGAATATTAAGATTAAAAACAAGGAGAGTTGTCCTTTACTACTTCATCTCAAACCCTTTTTTCAATAGGGTGGGATATGAATAGAAGAAAATTAAGATTCCATTGCTCTGCCATAATTCTAGGAAAAACGAGTTAAACTATAATAAAAATTGCAGAAGGATATGATATGTTTTAGATGACAATAAAAAAGCATTAGAATGAGAGCTTTATAGTAAGAATGACCTTAGGAAACTTGTGGAACAACTTTCTTGTTTTACACATGAGGAAATTGAGAGGCAGAAGAGTTAAATAACAGCCACAAAGTAGCACAGTCCAGACTGTGGATTCCTCAGGACTCCTGCTTTCCTTCCACTGTTTCCATGACTACACCATCAATTAGCTAGGGCCACTTCAATGAGTTTATCATATTTTTTATTTCCTACAGAATTAGGTGATAGTGGTACTTGGGGAAATCTTTTCATTTTCCAAAGGATGAAATACAAAGAATGAGAATCCTTCTAAAAATTCTGAACCTAAACCAATGTATCATACATTCCTTTTTTAAAAAATTAAGATATTATTTCCTTTTATATTATTTTGACATACCTTGGCTACTTACAGTGAGCTCAATTACTTGTGGGAAATTGTGGTACCTGGGGTATTATTGTTCAGAATTAGTTGTTCCCAATACCTTTGGCTATGACTTATCATGGCTCCCTGGAAGGAGAGTGGTCTTGTTGCCTGATGACTGGGCTTGACCACATGCCTTGCTTTGGCCAACAGAATGTAAGCAGATGTAATGCTTAGTATATCCAGTTGGACACTATGAGATGCATTTCACATTGCTGCCAGTTCTCTTCGATCAATGCCCTTTGCCACTAGAAAGGCATATCCCAATTAGGGTCTTCTCCTTCAGTCTGGGTCCTGGCTGGAGCCGACCTGCGCCTGAACCACGTCTTGGAGGACAGCTATGGCAACCAACCCACAGTAGCTAACGTGCCACATGAGTGAGAAATAGATGTTATCGGAAGCCACTGATACTTTTGAGGTTGTTATTCACTGTAGCCTGATAAAGGCTAATACATAAATGCTTCCAAATCTGGACCAACAATCCGGTTCCTGAGGCAGAAAGATATCAAAAGTAAAAATTCTGAGGTTCCAAGAATCTTTGTGATAAAAATGTGTACATATCTTATCAATGTGCCTACTATACATTAAGTGATAGAATGTTTTTATGCAGTTTAGAGTTCAGTATATGATAGGTACATATTTGAGTTATGGTCATTTGTGCTTGGAAAATAGGTGTAATGAATCTCCATGACAATTTCATAGTGTAAAATTGCACCAACATGCAGAAAGGAAATGTCACAATTTATCTGGGGATATAATTTTCAAAGTCCATGGAAATATGGGGGAATGTTTTTTTAAAAATTATAATCCCACAAACACACAATGCTCTATCAATTTACATGACTGATGTCAGATTTACATCAGTAAAAATAATTTGCTTCTCATAATTTTGCGAAGTTTTTCTTTTTAGTACTCTTAATTCTCCTCCTAGTAACCATTTGATAATAGTTTAGGAAGATTTATTTTAACGTTATTCTTTCAATGTAGTCAGTGGCAAGGAAGAATTTCATTGATTTTGAAGGACCACTTGACCACAGATAATACCACCTCTGCGGGAAAACCAGCGATAGCTTCTGATGCCTGTTTTTCATCTGGCAGCGGTGAGCTGTGGCCGGTTCACATCAACTCAAAAGAACAGTGTGTGCATCTCATCCCAACTCAGCACTGAGTGACTTCACATTGAAAGCTTGAAATCAGTCACAATGGGAGTATTTACATGACAAAAATTGGAAAGCACTACAGATCAGGGCTTTTCCCCCCCACCAGAGAGTTGGTGGTTAAACATTTATCAAAAGGCTTAAAAAGTCACCTTCTTTTACATTTGGTACTTTAATGTTCAGAACATCAAAAAATAGATGGCCTAGTTTGATTTCTGCGGGAGGATTTACAGGTACCGAGTTAAAACCGAAGCTAGCGGCTGGTTACAGAGGTTTAGAACTGTTGGTGCCAAGGAATCAGGCCTAATGACGCTCCGGGAATGCCCTTGCACTCAGACTCCGGGCCATGGTCAAACTGACGAACCGAGGGTAGGACATGAGACCCCTGACTTTGGTGAGGAGTGTCTATAGAAGGGGGATCAGAAGACATTTTGAAAGACAGAAGCAGAACAGTTGTCGAATAGTCTAATATTTTTTCTCTTCTGTGTAGCTACACATGGTCAGACACACTGCTGACAGATGCTAAGGAAGCATATGCTAGAAACACACATTTTCAGATCTTGCCATTTTACGAATATTTCTGATTATAAGGACTTACGAATATTTATTTTAGGTTTTCTGGGTGGAATTATTTTTAGGACTTTTAAGCAAAGGAAACAGGGCTTCAACACTATCAATTCTTTATTTGGGGTATCTGTCAGCAAAAACATCTCAAATAAGAACGATGGTGTGCCGGAATCTGTGTTGGTATTAATAATTCTCGAGCTTTTGTGGTTGTAATCTTAGCAGCAATTTACAAATATTCTGTAGAAAGCACTGCAGAAGCATAACTTCTCACTAAAAAAAAATAACAAAATTAAACACACACACTTGAGACTGAAATGTATATGTGTGTTTATTTTTTTTCTAAGATTTTATTTATTTGAGATAGAGAGTGAGAGAGAGAGATCACAAGCAGTGGGGGAGGGGTAGAGGGAGAGGGAGAAGCAGGCTCTGCACTGAGCAGGGAGCCCCATGCGGGGCTCCATCCCAGGACCCTGGGACCATGACCTGAGCCGAAGGCAGATGCTTAACCGACTGAGCCACCCAGGCGCCCCTGTAGTGAATATTTTTTTTAAAAGATTTTATTTATTTTGAGTTCAGAGCGGTTATTGCAATTTTTCTGGACCAGAAGAAATACCCTGAACCACTAGTACAGAACACCAAATGGCTTTGGACTGTAGCTTTTGTTGCAGACTTGATCCTGTTTTGTAAGGAATTCGAGCCAAAACTGAAACACGGCAAAACAATGGGAACGGTTATTCCCACTGTAGGTGGGATTCAGGAAAAGGCTTCTCCGGACTCAAAGAGCATTCTGGAGTAGTGCTTTTCAAAGGGTGGCCCTCAGACCAGCAGCATCAATGACTGCTCATTAAAATGCAAATTCTACTGAATCAGAAGCTCTGGAGGTAAAGCCAGCAAAACAGTGTTCATATGCGAAACATACACTAAAGTAATTTTGATGACAACTAACGTAATCTGAATCACAAAGTAACCCCGAGCAGCTTTATATATTTCCTGCGCTATCAAAAGGTAAGACAAGAAGCAGACTCTCCATTCTTACAGGAATCTGTAGCATACATTTTCTGAGCTGAAACCACAGGTCCAGCAGTGGGTTTTTTTGGACCCTGATGCAAATGTAAAAGAAATTTCCATTTTTCAAATCCATTCAATTGTGCAATTGAGGAGCTCCACCCAACCTTCAACTGGACGTGATTAATCTGCAAGGTAATAAATAGCATGCTAAAAGGAAAATACCAAGAGAAGAAATAATCTAATAGCATTCTATCAATGCCTTCCAAGGGCTAAATAGCCATATCTCGACAGTGTTCAGGAGTCACCTGAGGCTAGTGGTTATCATATCATCAAAAATCATATCATATCATCATATCATATCACTCAAAAACTCAGGATAAAACTACCACTGTTAAGCCAACAGACTGCAGTGTGGTAGGACAGATCAGGATATTCAGCTTCTGTAGCTGACAGATGACAGCTGAGGATGGTATGGGTGAAAATATTCTCATGGATTAACGTATGTACTTGGCAATACTTATCTGTATGAAAAGATATTCTTAAAGACAAAATATGTAAAATCACACTAGAGATCAACATTAACAGATGAATACTTAAAATCAATTTTCATGACAGGAAATAGTAACTTTGAATCCCAACTAAGTGAAATATTATCCTCCCCAAGAGTATTTCATTCTTCTTGTTGGTAGAAAACCATATCACAAAAAAATGGTTCTCAATTACTACATTTTGAATTCTGGCAATAAAAATTTTGTGGAAATTCATGTTCTCTATCATTTTATAATACCCATGCGATAATCTCAATTTTGCCTCGGAGTCCGTTACAGGAAATGTGTGCAGACCCATGCACCACTAGGGACCACCCTAGACACTTAAAACATAGGTTGACAGCACTGTCCCTAAAGCCAGATGTCCGAGGCTGTATAATGGAGCTGCCACCAGCAGTGATGTGGACATGAGTACATTCTTCCATCTTTCTTTGCCTCAGTTTCCTCAACCGTAAGCGGGAGTGAGTAATGGTATCTATCTTACAGCGTTGTGGTGAAGATGCAGTGCCTGAGGAAACGCAGAGCACACAGAGCATCTGGCACAAAGTAAGCACTAACTCCATGCCAGTTGCTAATTCAAGATGAAAGTACTACTTCACCCAGTTGGTAGTCAATTTATAAATCTCATCCTCCTAAAAGTTTCACCAGATAAAACATTTAAAATGTTTACATACATTTGTGAGTGAAAAGAAAATCCAAGTGCATGAAGGTAACAAGGTAGGTCAACCCAGCCCTTTCCCAACGTCCCGTGCTTCCACCATGAAACGGAAGATAGAATGGGTCATACACATGACAGCAATCCTCATACCGATGGTTTCTTACGTGGAGGAGACTGTATTACTATTTTAATATTTCAAATGTCACAATATTACATTCTTTATATTCAATAAAAGAATAAGCACAGTACTACTACTAGTAATAATTTATAACCGTTACATTTTTAAAGTTTGACATATTATATGGCCTAACTCAGTAATATATTCTTAGCACTCAGTAAATATTTATTGAATGCCTAATATTTGTCAGATGTATAAATTCACTAGGTTAACTACTTTGGGGGGAAAATGCTTTCATATATGTATTGTTGAGAATACCCTCAAAAATTGCCTAGAGTCATATATTAATCATGTTAATTTTTTAGCTGAATGTGCTTCTTCTTAAATGACTACAAGAAATTCTAGAGTAATGCCGTCTGATATGATAACCACTAGCCTCAGGTGACTCCTGAACACTGTCGAGATATGGCTAACACAACTGAGGTACGGAATTTTTAATTACATTTTAATTACATTTAATTACAATTAACTACAATTGAATAAAATAGCCACACATGGTTAGTGGCTGCCATATTGGACAGCAGAGTTCTACAGGATTATTCTAGCACGTGCAGAAGTTGGAATTTAACATTTTGTTCTCCGTGGGAAAATAAATTTTGTTACACCATATACTTAGTGTGCTACTCAAAACAGCCTTGTCTTTTCATGCCACAGAATATTTTTTGTTTACTTTTTTAGCAGCAGAATTAAATCAATTCACTATTTAACAAAACAATGTTGTTTGTTTTCCCTCCACTGTAACAGATTTCTAATTATTTAAGGTGCTAGGGCACAGAAAAAAAAAAATATATATATATATATATAAATGAAATACACATATATTATGTAAATCTTAAACCTTTCCCTCTGGCAAATTTTTAAGGCATCTGCTTAACAGTTGGAAAGCTATTTTCTTTAGTAGTTTACCTCTGTTCTTGATCATGCTCATATCTTTATACTGGTATGATCCACTAGTAAAATAGATAAATATGTCAGAAGAAAAATGGAAAAACTAAAATTTTCAAGTCGAAGAGTTAATGAATCAGCTTAAAAAATAACCACAGCATGATCAGTTTCTCCAACTAACTCTGGAAATTCTGTATATACCCAAACAAAACACTGGCCAGGTCACAAGGCTTATTAATAAGACATCCTTACATGGAGGTGTGAAAAATTAATTTTATTTTTAAATATCATGATACTTTCTGGCTCAACATGTTCCTTTAAAAATGTTAAAAGGTTTCCATATTACTCTTTTATTACACATGTAATTACTGACTAAAGAATAATATTACTGATTAACATAAGGTAAAAATAATGTGAGCCACTCACATACACTTCAAGGAAAGTGCTTGCAATTTTTTATGAAAACACCTGTTTACATTTTTACTTCATTTAATGGACAATTTCATATTTTTCTTCAAAATCTACAAATGCCTTAATGGAACATTAAGACATTCCCACCATTATAAGAACTAAACAAAACCAACCCTAAAATAAAACCCTACAAAAGCGCATTGATTTTATTACAGAACACATATTAAGTCACTGCGTAAAGCTCTTTTTTATGAACACTTTTGGAAAGCTCACATTGAGTTCCAGCACAGCTCTATTATCAATCTGTGAACAGAAGGACACATCAAGCAAGGAAAGATCTTTACAAGATTCCAGAAGCTTTCTTAAGGATGGTGGACTTACCATTCTTGTTCCTGTTAAAGCAAAACAAAACACTGTAAATATCATATTTATATAATGTCCTGATAAAGAGCCCCTTTACTATTTATTGTTTAAAATGCACTTAAAATAAATTGCCTTTTAAAAGGAAAAAGCATTTCTTTAAACCAAAGACATACTGCAATAATCCTGTAAAAAAATACAAACTGAATTCTCCTTAGCCAATTTGGCATCTAGGACCTGGATTTTGTCAATACTCTACCCACTATCTTCATTTCTACCTCCAACTCCTTCTAGTCAGCTCCTCCAGACTTTCCTATTTCTGTCACCCAAGTTTTCCTCAACCCGTGGGTCAAATCAGACAGCAATGCTTATAATGATCCCCCCTCATATTCCATGCAGTGCAGTTACTGAGCAACCACCCCTGCAGAAACTTGTGTGTCAGACACTGGAGATGCAAAGATGAGTAAGACATGTGTCTGCCGTAAGGAGCTCACTGACCAAACAAGTAACTACAATACAATTTGGTCAGTTTGACAGTAAGCGGTGGGTACAAAACGGCATGACTGGAAGTCAGATGATGGACGCTGGATACTGTGCGGCTCGCGTTAAATGTGAAGACACTACGGGACGTTCAGATAGAAGCTCAATTACATACATTATGAAAAGCACCTGCTACCTAGCAGGTACTCAATAAATACCAAATATCATTAGGCTTTAGGATATCATCTGTTGTAAAACAAACCTTGCTTTAACTACAGGTTTTCTAGGGACAAAAAAAAAAATCACAATCCTATCACTTATACACTCCTACTGTTATGGGGACCGAAGTATCTGTAAAGTTAACCTAATGCCCTTTTCCCTGAGAAATCCTTTTGACTCCCTTCCCCGCCGTGGGCTCCGGAGGCAGTAGCTATACTGCCAAATTGACTCTGGCTGGCCCCCAGATTCTCCCGGGCATTCAGAATGGGGCTTCAGGACAGCCTTCAGTGTCCCTAGGTCGCTCTCGAACTAAAGACACGAAAAACTGATCGGGGCTGTTAGATTTAGCCATGTGTACCTAGAAAGACAGAGATGGCCAGCATGACAAGAAAAGAACAAGGCAAAGCCACAGGGAGAAGCATACATAAGAGTATCTGTGAGTTTACAGATACAGGGGCAGAGGGGGGAGGGGGCTGGTGCCTGAGCATGAAGGACAGGAAAAGAAAGAAAAAAGAAAAAAACAGCTTTCTTGCCTTTTGGTGGTTTTCTAGTCTCTCCTGAGGTCTGACCATAGCTAGCTCCTACTTATGGATCTCAGAGAGACACCTCTATCTTCATAATCATTTTCTTTCCCTTATATATATGTTAGCGTGAGTGGTTTCTGTTACACAAGCTCAGAGAACCTCAGCTAAGACACCTAGCTTTGTGGTGTTTTTCGCCCACCCATTTTCTATTTGGTCATTAGAATATGAGTTTCCTGATAAATTAGAAGTTCCTAAAAGCCTAAGAGAATGTCAGGGAAGGCAGTCGGGAGATTGGAAACTGACCTAGGCTAGGACGCCCTGTCTTGTGCTTGCAGACACCATGTGCTTTTGTTTTTTTATCCATTATGACACAGCTATGTTCTCCAGCTCGCTCCTTCAGGGCTGGGGCAGCATCTATCTTGTTCAGTGACCCATCTCCAGTGCTGGCAACAATGCCTGACACAGTATATGTTCAATAAGTGTGTAATACATGAAAGAATGAAGGCTGGTGTTTAATTTCCCAATACCACCACCCTGGTTTAGACCCTTATTAGATGGATTACCGCAGCTAATCTCCCTGATTTTGATCTCCTCCATCTCCAGTTCACCTACCACTTGTTTCTAGATTAATATCCCTAAAAAGCTCTAAATATATCACTCATGCCCTGAATTAAACCTGATAATAGCTCTTCCTTGTTTAATTCTGTGCAGATTCCTCATCCCAGTGTTCAAAACTCTCTGTGAAAGCCTCCATTATACTAACGTTCTAAGTCAAATTAGATTGTCTATTCTCTGAAGATACTCTGTATTTTTAACTCTGATGCTTTTGTTTCATGCTATTCATTCTGCTTAAAATGCTCTCCTCCCCTTATTTCCTATTCACGTTTCAAGGATACCTTTCAAATACCTATTAACCTTTTTAATTAAACTTTTTCTTATTTCTCTAATCATATGTACTCTCTTTTCTTTGAGCCCCCAAATGCACTTCCTTCCTTCATGTAGGTTCTTTATATACTGTTTTACTTCTTCTTTTTTTGGGGGGGGGGGCCACGTTATAAACTCTCTGAAGGTAGAGATTGTATCTTGCTCAGCTTTGTACTGATCAGTAAGCATTTTCGGTATGAAGAAGGTATGCTACCTAACGTTCATACATGCCAATCACAAAATGACAAAATAATCACTGTCAGCTTGGGGTTTAACTAAGAATTTTTTTTTTTTTTTTTTTAGTGATTTAAATTATATGCGAGAGAGAAAGAGAGACAGAGAGCACGAGAGGGAGGAGGTCGGTATGAAGAAGGTATGCTACCTAACGTTCATACATGCCAATCACAAAATGACAAAATAATCACTGTCAGCTTGGGGTTTAACTAAGAATTTTTTTTTTTTTTTTTAGTGGATTCAAACACTTAAGGATAAAAGGAAACCATAAAACAACAATAAAAATGAAAATATAGCATAGTGGTTTAGGAGCATAGACTGATTCAAATTCAAATTTCCTTACTAGCCATGAGATCCTGGGCAAATCACACAACTTGTTTCAGCCTGTTTCCACTTCTGTGGCTATAATATACCTCACAGAGTTGTTGTGAGGGTTAAATCAGTTAATACAGGCTCACAACAGTATAAAGCACACAGTAACATTGCTGCTATTATTATTAATTATTATTATTGATATTTTTACTGTGTTCTTCATATTTGAAATAAGATGTTCTAATACATAGGCATGTATGGCCCTGTTTCACCTCTAATTTGTCTTGGCCTAATAATGATACTACCTCACTCCTCTTTTCTGAGTATAGTTGACACACAATGTTACATTAACTTCAGGTATACAAGGTAGTGATTCAACAAGTTTATAGATTACGCTACGTTCACAACTGTAGCTCCCGACTGTCGCCATGCAATATGCTACAACAGCATTGACTAGATCCCTCTACTGTGCCTTTTATTCCCATGACTTACTCATTCCATAACTGGAAGCCTGTGTCTCCCACTCCCCTTCACCCATTCTGCCCATCCCTCCACCACCCTTTCCTCTGGCAACCATCAGTTTGTTCCCTATAGGTCTGATTCTGCTTTTTGTTTATTCATTTGTTGTTGTTGTTTTAAGATCCCACTTATGAGTGAAATAATGTTATTTATCTTTCTCAGTGTGACATGTCACTTAGCATAATACCCTCCATGTTGTCATAAATGGCACAATCACATCCTTTTTATGGCTGTGTAATACTCCATTGCATATCTATACACCACATTTTCCTCATCCATTTTTACTGATAGACACTTAGGTTGCTTCCATACCTTGGCTACTATAAATAATGCTACAATGAACATAGGGGTGCATATATCTTTTCGAATTTGTGGTGTTTTGTTGTTTTTTTTTTTTTTTGAATAAACACCCAATAGTGGAATTACTAGAACATACAGTAATTTTAAGTTTTCTGAGCCACTTCCATACTGTTTTCCACAGTAGCTGTACCAATTTACATTCCCACCACGAGGGTTCCTTTATCTCCACATCCTCACCAACATTTATTTCTCGTGTTTTTTATTTTAGCCATTCTAATAAGTGTAAGGTGGTATCTCATTGTGGTTTTGATTTGCATTTCCCTGATGATTAGTGATGTTGAACACTTTTCATGTGTCTGTTGGCTATCTGCATGTCTGAACACTTTTCAGGTGTCTGTTGGCTATCTGCATGTCTTCTTTGAAAAAATGTCTATTCAGGTCCCCTACCCATTTTTTAAATTGTATTGTTTCTTTGGTATTTTTAAGTTCTTTATGTATTTTGGATATTAAGCCCTTACAGGATATATCATTTGAAAGTTATCTTCTCCCATTCAGTAGGTTGTCTTTTTGCTTTGTTGATGGCTTATTTTGCTGTGCAAAAGCTTTTTATTTTGATGTAGTCCCAATAGTTTATTTTTGTTTTTGTTTCCCTTGCCTTAGGAGACATATCTAGAAAAATCTTGCTACAGCTGATGTTAGAGAAATTGCTTCCTGTGGTCTCTTCTAGGATTTTTGTGATTTCAGGTTTCACATTTAGGTCTTTAATCCATTTGGGTTTATTTTTGTGTAGGGTGTTAAAAGGTGGTCTGGTTTTATTCTTTTACATGTAGCTGTCCACTTTTCCCAGCACCATTTGTTGAAGAGACTGTCTTTTCCCATTGTATAATCTTGCCTCTTTTGTTATAAATTAATTGACTATATAATTGTGTGTTTATTTCTGGGCTCTCTATTCTGTTCCATTGATCTATGTGTTTATTTTTGTGCCAGTAACATACTGTTTTGATTACCACAGCTTTGTAGTATATCTTGAAATCTGGAATTTTGATACCTCCAGCTTTGTTCTTTCTCAAGATTGCTTTAGCTATTTGAGGGTTTTTGTGGTTCCACACAAATTTTAATACTATTTGTTCTAGTTTTGTGAAAAAATGCCGTTTGTATTTTGAAGGGGATTGCCCTAAATCTGTAGATTGACTTGGGAAATATGGACATTCTGATTAGACTAATTCTTCCAATTCATGAGCATGGAGTATCTTTTCATTTATTTGTGTCATCTTCAATTTCTTTCATCAGTGCTTTATAGTTTTCAAGTACAGTTCTTTCACCATTTTTGTTAAGTTTATTCCTAGGTGTTTTATTCGTTTTGGTGCAACTGTCAATGGTGTTGTTTCTTATTTTTTCTTTCTGCTACTTTATTATTGGTATATGGAAATGCTACTCATTTCTGGGTACTAATTTTATATCCTACAACTTTACTGAATTCATGTATTACTTCTAATAGTTTTTTTGTGGAATCTTTAGGA